GAATGGCCACGGAACGATGGGTGGCCAACAAATCTCTAGAATGGTGGAGAAACTCACCAGGGTAGAGACAGGCGAAAAGGTTCATTGTAGAACATTCGCCAAAATGCACGGTAGACTTTATAAGCAAGGACAGAAAGACAGTCAAAGCTGTAGTAGGTCTACTAACAGGGCATTGTAAGCTAAATAGGCATCTAAAGCTGATGGGATTGACAGACGAAGCTATGTGTAGGTTCTGCCAATCTGAAGAAGAAACGTCAGAACACATTTTATGTCGGTGTGACAGCCTGGCAAATGTGCGGTTCCCGGTAATATGCAATGATAGGCCATTGCCAAGGAGTTACATGGAGGGTTCAGTCTCCAAGTTGCTAAACTTTGTGAAAAGGATAGGACTGGAGAATGTAATCTAAAGATCAGAAGAGTACCACAATAGATCTGAGAAGGTCGCAGTGGATCCTCCTAAGATTATATTATAGAGCCACCTCTAAGAATCTAATCTAATCTAAGTGTACAATGGACTTAAATAAAAAAGTATTTATGTGTCAAAATAATAATTCTTAAAATTTATTAAACATAACAAAAACGTTAAGTATAAACATTATCGACCTTGGAAGTATATGTATAAAAAAGTTGATTTTTTAACTTATGAGAAACTACCACAAGATGCATAGACAGATATTTTAAATTTACATTTCACATTGACAAAATCATACACAACTTAAGGTATGTTGGCATTTGCTTATTTCTGCATTGTTACCAATGTGCAATAAATTAGGTAAAATCGGATTGTCCAAAATTGTTCAAATTTAATCATTCGGGATTCAGCATACATAAACCTTTAAAAAACCTATGCACAACTTCGCTGTGAAATCAACAAGAGAACCAATATTTGGACAGTTAAAAATTTGCATAGAATTTCCTGTGTTTCCAATACCGATGCACTACTCGGTATGGTATACTGTGTCCGACAGCCGCTGGGATAAACCCAAAATTTTGGGATTAAGTTTTTTTAAAAACGGATTTATCATCTATGGGTGTCCTACTTTTGATATCCGAGTGATGACAAAGTGGCATCTTTGGGGAAATTAAGATACGGGGTGATTCATTATCAATTATGTGAAATCGAGTGTTATTCGAGTTATCGAGTTATTTTGTGTGTTTTTAACATGAAAAAATGTGTTTTACATTGATTTAATAATGTCGTTTTTTTCATAGGTATAAGTGATAACGAAACATCTTATATACAGGGTGATAAAACATAATATATTTTCACGTTAATTGAAGGTAAAGCGAAATATAAAATTTTTGCATTTTGTATACTTTGTAGGTATGTATACAGGGTGGTGACAATTTCGATGCTCAACATTGGCATCTCAGAAACTACGAGAGATACGCAGTCGGTTAAATGGGACAAAAGTTGCGTAATTAGAAGTTTGACACACACCTATGAAGAAAACCCCGGTATCTTGATTAGTTTCGGATTGATGTCAAAAAAATGAAAATAATACGTTTATTTTAAATGACAATATCTTCAAAACTATTGTATCTATTGCAACGTAAGTTGGTAGTTTTATATTTTTGACCTCGGCCAGTTAAATGCCGTTTTCAGAAAATTTCTAAGCCTTCTAGGTTTCGCACAACAGCCAAGTTTTTGTTTTCTTATGGCCGCCATTTTGAACTTTTACACTATTAGATAGAGCGAAAAAAAGTCTATACGGTGGTATCTAATTTTTATTCATTATTATGTAAATTCACAAAAAAATAGATGTTTTAAAAAGATCAAGTAAATTCGCCGAAGTCTGCCTTGGAAATCCAGTTGACACTTTATATGTCAGCAAATTATTTTTTGTTTGTTCTATTACTTGTGAAAGTGTCAAATCTGGACGCACAAAAATTGTATAATAGAGTTCAATTCAGGTCAATACAAGCAATTATTGTATTAAAATGACTATCAGATATCAGTATCAGATTATTTGTAGTCTGGTTTCTCTAATTAAATGACAAGTTTCTTTTGCATAATAATGTCAATTTTTTTTCGCCCGTCCATAATATTTTTCTCTAAAAAAGGGGGCTTTCTTGAATCTTCTCTTGTGATCACCAGCATATAAAAAATGTAAATTTGGTACACAATTAAATTTTGTAACTTATGTTTTTTGACAATTTTCCCTACATAAGAATCGCTTATACAAACCTCGCGACTTATTTTACGGCTAGAAGTTTTCTTCGACTTATTTCAATCTTTCCTTTAAAATATTTCCCTCTTGTTTTTTAAAGCTACCAGCTACTGCTAAATTTCTTGAAATCCTTGCGAAAATAGTACGATGAGGCTGTGTCCTTTCAGGATACAATGTTCTATAAATTGCGGTATATAATTTTTTTCCTATATCGGAATTTCTATTATTTTTTAAGTAAACATCATACACATCTCGTGTTTCCTCACTTCTAAACATATTGTTGACTGTTAATACACTTTACACTATCTATTATAAATTTTTGTGTCCAGATATGACACTTAATAGTGTAAACAAAAATTAACTTGCTGTCATATAAAGTGTCAATGGAATTTCCAAGGCAGACTTGATCTTTTGAGCGAATTTTTAAAAAATCTATTTTTTAGTGAATTTACTGTATAAAAATTAGATACCACCGTATAGATTATTTTTGGATCTATCTAATAGTATAAAAATTCAAAATGGCGGCCATAAGAAAACAAAAACTTGACTGTTGTTGTGCAAAATCTTGAAAGCTTAGAAATTTACTGAAAACGGCATTTCATTGGCCGAAGTCAAAAATATAAAACTACCAACTTACGTTGCAATAGATATAATAGTTCAGAAGATATTGCCCTTTAAAATAAACGTATTATTTTCATTTTTTTGACATAAATCCGAAACTAATCAAGATACCGGGGTTTTCTTCATAGGTGTTTGTCAAACTTCTAATTACGCAACTTTTGTCTCATTTAACCGAATTCCTATATATCTCTAGTAGTTTTTGAGATGCCAATGTTGAGCATCGAAATTGTCACCACCCTATATACCTAATGTATGAGTAAAAGAATAACAAACACATTTTTTATACAGGGTATTTCAAAAATAACATTACTTCCGTTGAAGGACTAGGGTAAATATTTTAAACACGCATATCATAAAACATTAAAGTTTATCAGTAGGTATCAACCTCAGAATCAACTTCTTTATCGGAAACCAAATCTTCATCCTCATTATCATTAACCGGTACAGCGAGGGTCAGTTCGTTGCAACAATGTTCGTTCCCGTGGCACATACAAAACATTGTGCAAGGCAATCTAGCACCTTTACACCCACATCTTTTTGTGCTACACGGACTGGCACTTGAACAAGAGCAACGAATCAATTTGTAATATATCGGAAGGTGCCACCTCGGCCCTTTCTGGTAGGGTGACTGGTAACAAATGCTTTCCGTTAGCATCTACGAAAAATCCATAGTCCGTCGCGTCTTGTAGGTTAGGCGGATTAGGTTCTAAAGCATTTAGCTACATGGAAGTCTGTAGGTGCACCCGTTTCATATTTTCTACGCATGCCTCGTTCGTTGGCGGAAGCGAGCGTAAAAGAGACAATTGTGACCTTCCGCATGAAGTTCTTTCTGCCCAAAGTTGTACACGAGACTCGGGTGTGGAATAACAAGATGCTCTTCCATAACATGCTGTTATAAATTTAGCAGCCTGACTTGCAATTTCATCCATATTTTTGTTTCCTTGGCCTAAGACAAAGAGTTTTGATAACCTTGTTTTTGCCTATTCCATAATTCTATGCGTTGTGCACCAGCAACTGAAAGTTTTTCACTTTTCTTCTGACAGGAAAACTTCCAGTCAAAAAAAACACTTTTCACTCATGTTTAACGAGGTATTATTGTTACAATCAAATTTTATTCTGAAAGAGAAATCACTATTATCTTTCTGCCTTGGGATGTAGACCTTTAAGTCTAAATTATAAGATCTGCAGTTTGCAGTCAGTAGTCGCAGTCGGTCGTTCCATCAGATTTAAAATTTCATGAACTTGGAACGGCCAACTACAGCTTGCAACTGCGAACTGTAGGGCTTATAAAATTAGGCTTTAATGGACAGGACACTGATATCGGCAAACTAAGCATTTTCCTTCATCACCCTGAAAAAGATATATTTAGTATAACATAATTATGTAAGTAATAAAATTGAGTTAATGGAGCCCTAATGAAAACGTTTATGATATTTATATTTTCTTTTTACTGATACTTTAGGTTACAAACTAAAAGTATCAGCAACTGTAACGAAAAGTCCTATATTTCTATGCTAACGTTTTTGTTGAGGTTTTTAACTCAATGTTATTGCTTAATTCTAAATTATTAAAAATGTTTGTTCACAAACATTTCACAGAATCATTGAAATGGAAACACAAAATCATCGGTAATTCAAAGAATTTCGAACCTTAACCTAAAATTATTAATACCAACAATGATTGTTGAATTGAATTTAAGATACAAAGTTCTAAATACAAAAAAAATATTAATCGGAAAAATGTAGGTATAAGTTTTATTTTTTTAAATCACCCTGTATATTGCAAATAATAATGATTATTATTTTTATGCTATAAAGGTAAGCCTATATTTAGTATAATTACAATAAATTGACCAACCCACACAAAAATTAAGGCCTAAAGAATAAAACCTATCGAATACATGTTTATGTCTTATATTTTGGGACACCCTGTATATCTGGATTTCCCCAAGGGTGACAGCTTGTCATTAGCCGGATATGGAAAATAGACATATAGACATATAATAATCCGTCATAAAAAAACTTAATCCCACAATTCAGCGAAAAATCCGGGTTCTGCTGCCGGACTCTATAATATTTTTAAATGTGCACTATTAGTACCTGCATATTTTGTAATCAAAATTGCACTGAAACTCTCAAAAATTAAGTATCGAAACATTGCTTTGCCCTGTAGAATCATAGTTAAATAAATATTGAATTAACCACTTACCTATTTTTATCATTAGCAAAGAAAGTATCTGGGACCCATATTTTCTCAGCAAAATCACCGGAGAGCGTTAAGCACTCATATTGGTTACTAAAAGCTAGTCGCTCATCTTTCCAATATTGATTTAGGTATAGTGTGATAGTATAATCCTGAAAACACAGAAAGAATTTTTAAATAATGAGCAATACAAAAAAATATACACAATTCTACAATTTGCGTGAGGTTTGCCACTCGGGGAAAAATGTACATGAGCTGACAAAATATCATTTTATTGCCAAGCGCCTACCAATGACGGCGAAGAAGACTGCCTATGTCTGCCATATAATTATAGTCGACTGTCGTGAGACTGATGCCAATGACTGCCAGCGACTGTCAAGAAAACATACATGTAATTTCAACAGTAAGACATCCTTCGACAATTTGTCTACGTATTGAACGAGGGGTGTCTCACTATTGGAATTACATGTACAGGGTGGTCGAAATTGGTCTGTTTTAATAGAGAAAACCTATTTCCTGACTAGATAGAGCAAAACCGACATAGATGTCTTGGGCTCGATTTCTGAGAAACGTTTAATGGCGTAAACCGCCTGTTGATATGTCTTTTTGAATTTTTTACCATTTTGAAAATTGCCCATAACTTTTTTATTTTGCGGAATAATAAAATTCTGTAAAAACGTTATTAAGGCCCTTTTTTAGGCACAATCCAGTGGCGTGGTTAGTTTTTTTATATGCTTGCTGTTTTTGTCAGAAATAATAAAAAATATAATTTTTTAAATGGAAATCATAGTTGGCTATAAACTTAAAAAAATGCTGGCGTTTTACCCTTTCCTATGATCTAAAGTTATGGACATCTATTTCTAAGAATGAGAGAAATATTAAGTTTTTGATCTTTATATCGAAGCGGGCCTTGATTTTGTGTTGACCTATTTGCCTAATTATTTTTTATCACAATGTAATATTCTATATTATTATTTATCTGCATAATTAAAGACTTTTGAAAAGGAAAATTAACATTCTATATTAGTATTAGTAATTACAATTGAAATCGATACAATAAACAAAGACAAGTACGTAAAAGTATTTTTTGAGTGACGAATATAGTTTTCTAAAAAAAATCATCAAAGATGTACGAACTGAGCACCCCCTTGTTGAATACACAATAAACATCTTTTGCGCACAGAGTTACAACAATTTATTAGGCGAACTGGTGTAATAAGTCCAAAAGCTTGTCTAGTAGCCTTCTGTAATTCTTCTCTCGTCCCAATGGTTCTTCCCTTATATATAAGGCCTTTTAATTTCCTCCCATAAAAAAAGTCGAAAGGAGTTACATCACAGGACCTAGCAGTCCAAGATATGGGATCCCTTGTTCCAATCCAATTCTCTTTAAATTCTCCATTTAATAGTGCAGTTGTAACCCTGGCTTTTTAATTGTAAATGGTAATATTAATATAGAATGTTAATTTACCTTTTCAAAAGTCTTTAATTATGCAGATAAATAATAATATAGAATATTAAATTGTGATAAAAAATAATTAGGCAACTATAGGTCAACACAAAATCAAGGCCCGCTTCGATACAAAGATAAAAAACGCAATATTTCTCTCATTTTTAGAAATAAATATACATAACTTTATATCGTTGGAAAGGGTTAAACGCCAGCATTTTTTAAGTTCATAGCCAACTATGATTTTCATTTAAAACATTATATTTTTAATTATTTCTGACTAAAAAAGCAAGTATAGAAAAAAACTGCAAACGCCACTGGATTGTGCTTAAAAAAGTGCCATAAGAACGTTTTTACAGAATTTTATTATTCCGGGAAATACAAAAGCTATGGGCAATTTTCCAAATGGTAAAAAATTCAAAAAGACTCCGTATCTCGGTTGGCAGCGAAAATATGAAAAGGCGGTTTAGGCCATTAAACGTTTCTCAGAAATCGAGCCCATGACATCTATGTCGGTTTTGCTCTATCTAGCCAGGAAATAGGGTTTCTCTGTTCAAACAGACCAATTTCGACCACCCTGTACATACAGGGACATAATTTTAAGTGTATCACCCAATTTCAGATTTTCCTGTTTCCTATTTTAAGACAGTAAAAAGATATTTTAATGTAATTTTTCATGAGGATGCCGATTTTTATCTGAAAATTTTTTAAAACGTCAATTTTGACAGATACGACGCCATCTTGATTTTTTTAAATAGGAACCCCCTCATATTTTAGTATCTTCCGGTAGACATATTTTAACTAATTTGAAAAATATATAGTTTAGTATACTCGAAGGGTGTCTCACTATTGGAATTACATGTACATTTTCTGGGCAGTCGCTGGCAGTCTTATGGCAGTCGCCTATAATAATTACATGGCAGTCGTAGGCAGTCTTCTTGATAGTCACTGGCAGTCGCTTAGCAGTGGAAGGATATTTTGGTAGTACGTGTACATTTTTTACCCGAGTGAGACACCCCTCGAGTATACTTTGCCCTTACCATTTTCGATATACAGTGCATTTAAAAATGAAATGTTCCAGAATAATTTTAAGTGTCCCACCCAATTTAAAATTGTCGTGTTTCTTATTTTAGGACAGTAAAAAGATACTTTAATGTAATTTTTCGTGAGGATGCCGATTTTTTATCTGAAAATGTTATAAAACATCAACTTTGACAGATACGACGCCATCTTAATTTTTTTAAATGGAAACCGCTGCATATTTTCCAACTTCCGATAGATATATTTTAGCTAATTTCAAAAATATACAGTTTAGTGTACTTTGCGCTTACCGTTTTCGATATACAGTGCATTTAAAAATGAAATGTTCCAGAATCGTTTTTAATTGTCTCACCCAATTTAAAATTTTCCTGTTTGCTATTTTGAGACAGTAAAAAGATATTTTAGTGTAATTTTTTATGGGGATGGTGATTTTTTATCTGAAAATTTTTTAAAACATCAATTTTTTTTAAATGGAAACCCCCACATATTTTAGCATCTTCCGATAGACTTATTTTAGCTAATCTCAAAAATATATAGTTTAGTATGCTTTGCACTTACCGTTTTTTATATACAGTGGATTTAAAAATGAAATCTTCTAGAATTATTTTAAGCGACTCATTCGAAGTTTTCGAATTTTAAAATTCTTTAAAATGTTAAATTTGACGACGCGTTAAATTTTAATTTATTTATACTTTGATAGACTTCTTCAATCATCATCATCATCATTTAGCTTATTCCGTCCACTACTGAACAAAAGCCTCCCGTAGCCTGTATTCTTCAATATGACCTTTATATTTATTTAATAAAATAAATAGCCTGATGGTGATTTCTCAAACAAAATAAATAACAGCTCAACCAACTTATGTCATGTTATACATTTTAAAAGAATTCTATCTTAGTTGCTAACTTCGGGAGATAATTTCTCTAAATAAATTAATAAATCTTTAAAGTTGATAAATTGAATAACACAAGACTAGCTCAGCTCCTAAACGTATCAATTTGGCTTTATCAATTTAGGTGAATCAAATACGGGTTTTTGCAGAAAAAAATAAAGTTTAATTAAAAGAGAGTTAACAATACAATCGCCAGTGTCGTAGCATATTTTTCACAAAAGTGTCTTTAGATGAGTATCTAGACCACAAAATTTCATAAAACCAGCTTAACTCATTGGGAAATAATTTCAAAATGATTTATTTTTGCTAGCATTTCATTCAAGTCAACAAGGAGTTTTATTATTTATAATAGATTTGCATTAAAAATAATGCCAGCAATCATATCCGAAATTTGTGAATATTTCTTGAATCACTAGTAACTGTGTAATAAGGGACCACAGTTCGCCAAGAAAGGTAGACTGTGCTGTGGAAAATAAAAGCACATTTACATTTTTATTGACAGTCGGCTATTAAAATGTTAACTTAATAGCAATTTGATATTCTTGTCTTAGTGTATTGGTTAATAAATTATTACCAAAACTTTTAATATCTAACTTCTAATATATTATTATCTTACAATTTTGTGCTTTAAATGTTCTTTGGGACGTAAGAACGTTACAATTTAAATACAAAAAGATAGTATCGTCATATTACTAGATTGACTTTAGTATACTAAAGTTATATTTTGTTTGCTATTTCTTCAATTATTGTTTTAGAAATAAAAATGTTAATTTTGATTGTGTTTTCATTTGCGTATCTCCAGTGGCGCATATAGGATAAAATACGTCGTGGGCAAAGACAAAATTTGGCGCCCCCACAATTGCTTTCAGAATTCTTATATTTTGCCGCCCCTGTGCAGAAATTTTACTTGTAGGTATGATGTTTGCAGAAACTACATACCTTGTGTGTTCATGCGGTGCGTGATTAGAGTTTTTACCTATTGATTTCGGAAACATTTTGGCGCCCCTGGCGCCTGGCATCGTGGGCAGGTGCCCACTTTGCCCACGCCTAGATCCGCCACTGATCTGTTTCCCATATTACCTGCACCGCACAATCTCAAAGTGGATACATTTTTAAAAACTCTGTACTTCGTAGGGGACTCAAAATTTACTATTAAAAATAAAAAATGAATATACTTAAATAATTATATTCTCCATAAAAAGATGCTTTGAAATATTTTAATAGAAACACATAATTTTCGAAAGGAAAAAGTTAGTCAGCTAATTTTTAAAAATGTACATTTTCGAAAAACACCCTGTATCTCTTAAACTGTAAAGCCTGGTTGGCACAGTCAAAGTGTACTTTGATCAAATACAGTTGGACTGCATTATGTGTATTATGATTATGTAGAATAACAGCTTCCGCAGAATGACATCGTTAAATACAACCGAACCCATCGAAACTAATTAAATCGAATTGTTTAAGTGATATTTTTAAAAGTCAATAACTCGGAAACGGTTGCTTTAAGGTACATTGTGTGTATCTCAATTTTTGCTTAGAATTGAAGGAAAAACCGAAATATGGCAATAATATGGGGGGTCATTTAAAAAAATAAAACTTTGATGTGCCACAATATAATAAATATTTAAAAACCCTATAACTTTTATATTTAATTTTTTGCGGTACCTCTTATATTTTACCTAATAATCGACCCTTCCCATACATATCAGCGACCCTGAATGAAAACAAATCAGTTTGTTTTCTGTAGCGTCTTTAGCGATTGTATATTTCT